AATCGAAGAAGACGCGAATTGCTGTTGCCACGAAAGGACAAAGCCCGTTCCAGATCGGTGATGCGAGCGAGCAGGGCGTTGTGACTTTTGAACAGAAAGTGCTGCTCGCTCACGCTCAAAGGCCGTCCATTGCCAGAGTTCATGGTCAAGAAGTCGTCCTCGGCAACGCTAAGACGGTTGCTGGCCATGCTGCCCTGACTACCCTGACTGCTGCGGCTGGAGATGGAACTGTGGGTATATCCAGAGAAACGGCGCTCTGTACACGTTGGTGTCGATTCAGGGGTCGGAAGGCCGGTGCTGGAGACCGACGAAGACGTGGAAGACGTCTTGTATGATATACTGCTCTTCCGGACTGGTTGCTGACGTATCGACATGGAAGTGTCATCGTGCGACGGCGATGCCGCCTCAAGTTTGATGTTGAGTACGGGCCTCGGACGAGCGGGGGTCGGAGATGGCACAGATCCTGCACGGTTTGAAGCATCCGGAGCAAGGGAAAGGGCCTTCAAGCTCGCTCGCTTAGGAGAGGATGGCGTTGGGAGGGCCTGTGATGCAAGGAATTGTGATGGTAGAGCGTCTGGGGTGAGAGACAATGGCCTGAGGTGCGGCGCACGAGAGCGTTGACCAAGGTTGCGGGTGAAGCTAGTCGTAGGTGTGGTCGGTGTCGGTGGTGCGCGAGGCTTATCGGAATCCTCCTCTTCCTCTTCCTCCTCCATCAAAGTACCTAATGCGTCCTTGGAAGAGGAAGGCTTGAAGGAGTCACGCTTGGAAGAAGTAGTGAAGGTCCCTGGACCTGGGGGAAGGAAGGTTTGGTGGCTGGGTAAATAGTATGAGCAACCGAGTCGCAAGCGAAAATGGGATGCCTACGGAATTCATATGGGGCAGAAAGCTCTGGGATTTCTACTTTGGCAAAGGAAGCATCACGCTTCCCCTCAAGAGCCCAGAGAGCATCACCGGCGTATCTCGTCTGTCTCCACTCGACGCGAATCAGCTGAGATGATGGGAGTAACCGTTCCCGAGACTTCGGCCTCCGCGAGCGAGGACTCAGCAGAGATTCTATCCGCCGCAATGCTCTCTGGGCTCTTGAGGGGAAGCGTGATGCTTCCTTTGCCAAAGTAGAAATCCCAGAGCTTTCTGCCCCATATGAATTCCGTAGGCATCCCATTTTCGCTTGCGACTCGGTTGCTCATACTATTTACCCAGCCACCAAACCTTCCTTCCCCCCAGGTCCAGGGACCTTCACTACTTCTTCCAAGCGTGACTCCTTCAAGCCTTCCTCTTCCAAGGACGCATTAGGTACTTTGATGGAGGAGGAAGAGGAAGAGGAGGATTCCGATAAGCCTCGCGCACCACCGACACCGACCACACCTACGACTAGCTTCACCCGCAACCTTGGTCAACGCTCTCGTGCGCCGCACCTCAGGCCATTGTCTCTCACCCCAGACGCTCTACCATCACAATTCCTTGCATCACAGGCCCTCCCAACGCCATCCTCTCCTAAGCGAGCGAGCTTGAAGGCCCTTTCCCTTGCTCCGGATGCTTCAAACCGTGCAGGATCTGTGCCATCTCCGACCCCCGCTCGTCCGAGGCCCGTACTCAACATCAAACTTGAGGCGGCATCGCCGTCGCACGATGACACTTCCATGTCGATACGTCAGCAACCAGTCCGGAAGAGCAGTATATCATACAAGACGTCTTCCACGTCTTCGTCGGTCTCCAGCACCGGCCTTCCGACCCCTGAATCGACACCAACGTGTACAGAGCGCCGTTTCTCTGGATATACCCACAGTTCCATCTCCAGCCGCAGCAGTCAGGGTAGTCAGGGCAGCATGGCCAGCAACCGTCTTAGCGTTGCCGAGGACGACTTCTTGACCATGAACTCTGGCAATGGACGGCCTTTGAGCGTGAGCGAGCAGCACTTTCTGTTCAAAGTCACAACGCCCTGCTCGCTCGCATCACCGATCTGGAACGGGCTTTGTCCTTTCGTGGCAACAGCAT